AAAATAAAATAAAGAAATTAATATCATGTTATTGATTTGTAAAGTACTTTCTCAACATCCAACTCAGCAGTCTATCTTCTTAGTCAGATGACTGTTTCATTGTATTAGCCCGGAAAAAAAAATAACTTTGGCAAGTGACAGATAAACAGTTCTAAGAGTTAGACCTTTAGTTTCTGAAATATAATTGAATATTTTAACACTGCTAGTGCCAAAGAAAGTTGTGAATGATAAAAGTCAGACAAATTCTAATTTAGTTCTTTGCAGTGACAAGAAGGCCTTTGAGCTACAAATAATTTCAATATACAAGTAAAACATTTTTGAAAAAAAAAATCTTTCTGCCTATTACTAATTAAATAACATGACAGAGGAACATTTCCCTCCTCTAATTTAACCCCAGAAGGATAAACGAAACAGGCAAACACTTGTCTTGACTAATTTTCTGTCATTAATCTTATTAAATAAAAGCAGGACTGTAAGAATAGCCTCAAACCACTGTAATATACAAGAGTTTTTAATGGATGCTGTGAAAAAAGGAAGGAGAAGCCTCATCAGGTCTTGGAAAGATTTATGAATGCTTTTTTATTATAATTCTGCATATAGTTCAGCAGTAAAAATATGCATTGCTTGAAGGGTTGAGATTTACACCAAAAAGCAATGAATACGTTGTCACAATCACATTAGTCTATATTGCCTTTTCCTAAAATAATTGTGGGTGTCTTATTCTTCAGAGAAATTTCATTTTTTCTGCCGGTATGGCCAGACTGTTTTGAAAAACACAGATTACAAATATTTTAAATAAATAAAGAGTTCTTGGGGGGGGGGGGAATCACAAGAAAGAAAAAGGCAAGTTTTTGCTTCATAGTAGTGATGGCAAACGTTTTTTTTGCACGGGTACTAAAATGGTTTGTGCAATAGCATGTGTGCACAACCCTCTGTGCTCACCCGCTGTGCATGTGCACAGGCTTCACTGAAGCCTCTGGACTTCCAGTGGGCCATTTTTCACCCTCCCCATGCTTCAGGAATGACTGCGTTTAAGGATGACTACTGCGTTTGTGATGCAATCAGAACATTGCGTGTGTTGAAGTTGTTTTAACGCAAACCAAAGATGCCTTTTAAAAAACAAGTT